GGTAAAAAATTTTAAGTCAAAAGTGAGTCAAATTCCTTTAAGGCTATATGTCCCAACCTCTTAATAGGGTTAAGTTGGTGGACCCTTTGAACTACTAAAGCCAATCCAGATGTAAAAGTAATTTAAGTGATTGGAACTTGCAACTTTGTTGAACCCTGTGGTTTTCAGACTAGAATTTTATGCCAATTAATGATGGTGGAAAGGACATATTTTTTAAAAAATAATAATTAATATATTTTTTTAATTTAATATAACTATTAATATTCATTAATTTAGTTATTAAATTTTTTTTTATTTTTTTATTTTTAATTTCAAACCAAAAAATTAATAATCTTTTAATTAATATATTATAAAATATATTAAATAAAAAAGTATCTTATATAAATATACTTTTCCTTTGACATTTTTTTAAAAAATGAACTCACGTAGTTAATCACCTAAATAATTTAGTAATAATCTCTTTTTGTTAAAAATAAAAAATCTTAAATTCAAATTACATAATATATAAGTGAAAAAAAATAAAAGATAAGAGAGAATTATCTCCCGTTCTACAACCAATTATAAAAAATAAAAATAAAAAAGAAATGAACTCACCCAAAAGCAAAGTGAAAATTTCAACTTTTTAATCTTTTACGGGGGCTTTAAGGCCAAAGTCGAGCTAACAAACATCATCCTTTCTTTCAAACCCTGTCGTTGGGCTCCGCGATGGGTTTTTGCGCATGTACTCAATTAACATTGATTTGATGGGAGATGATATTGTTTCATTATACAAACAATTATGTCTCTAAGTGTGTTCATTGAATCTAAAATCCTAATTTAAAACAATGATATCGATAATCTTTAGATAATTTGGTCATCTTTTTCTTTCTTTCTTTTTTTAAATACTTTTGTTTTAAATAAGTTAAGTGAGAAAATTTTATATTAAAAATAATAAAAATATGTATTATTTAAATAGAAGATAAATTAATTTAGTTATTACTAATTAATTTTACAATAAAAGAGGATTTTTTAAGTTCTGTTTACATTGATTTATAAAACACTAATCATTATATTAAAAGAGGTTCTCTATATGATGTTGAAAAAGGACTCTCTTGATGATTAATATTTTACAATTTAATAAAATCTAAACTTTAAAAAAAAAAAACACCCAAACTCTAAATGGTAAATTAAATACTAATCATCTTATGTTCAACCTCATATTATAAAAATTGGTCTTTTCTTAATAGGAGAATGGGGATTAATGAGTTGCATTCCACAGCCCATCATATGAGTGGGCTCGACCAATTAATCATGGAAGTGTGTATATAAAAAATGGGCCTCAGCGCTTGTCGAAGATGGCCTGCGCTGCTCTTATGATTTACTTGGTTTATTTTGATTGCTCTTATGATGCACTTGGTTTATTATGATTGGTAACTTAAAACCCTTGATTTGAAGTTAAATTTAGAGATTTAAACTTTTGTAATATCAAAGACCTAATTCTCCAATATTAAAAAAACAAAAAAAAAAGACTAGTAAACTAATTCAATAATTCATCTAAAATTAGTTGACAATAAGTCATCACTTATAAGATTTAAATTTCACAATACCACAAAAAAGACATTTAAATAAAATTTTCCCCTCACCAACACAAGTTTGGCCAAGTTAGGTATCCATTAATTTAAGAAGTTTGATTTAGAATTAAGGTTAAAAGTTCGATTTAGAATTAAGGTTAGAAGTTCAAACATCTATATCATCGAACAACTAACCTTTTGATGTATCAAAAAGTAAAATAAAATTTTCCTCTTTACATCTTATATAAGCCTAAGCAAGTTCCAAGAAAAGG